CCTTTAATGCTGATATAATTTGACGATAACTAAGGTTTAGTAAGGATTCCAGTTTTTGAAGCAATATGTATGTAAATGGATTGCGATTTCCCCTTCCCACCTTAAAGCCACCTAAATTGCAAATAACACATTGAGAAGCGCCTCCTAATTCGTTTCTGAAATGTTATTTGAATTATAAAGCCAAAATAAGTTCTTGATGTCCACATTGAGCTATTAGGAGTAAGAAAGTTGAAGCAACAACTACCACAACAAACATTGGCTGTATTTTGTTTTCATGAGTCAAGTTAGGGCGTGAAATCGACAGAAACAATAACGTATTACCGTGGTTAGAGGTGAGAAGAATGCTGCAGATATTTTTCTTAGTCACTTTTCTAAATATAGTAAACTTATAACCATATTAAGGTCATGAATTTCAGTTGATTATACATACTGTTATTTATTTTGTGCCCCTCTGAGAAAGAAATATATGCACCACATCGAACAAACTCTTTAGATTGACTTACAAGTCTTAATTGGGATTTCGCTACCAAAGGCCTGCGATGGTAATTTTCATATCGTCATATGGCGTTATAGGTGTTTCCAGATGTGTCGTCAGCTTTCAAATACTATTATTGCCCCGACATCCAAAATGTTGTCACAAAAATTAGGCAGAACTTTCAAAGTTACAGTAAGTAGAATTACGAATGAAAGTTACTTTTAAACTGGGGAGGAACTCGCACATAAATTGCTGTACACTGAATAACTGTCGAGTACGATGTTCAAGGTGATTAACTGGAAGTTTAGTCAGCAACAATGGATGTTGTCGTGCAAAATATATTTCAGCTACAATACTAGGGCAACAGCCGATGATATTATATCTCATACCTATCTACAGCTACGCTCAAACTTATGCAGCAAAGAAGCGTGTGAACTGACGATTTTACGACTCATGATATTTCTTCCTAGGACCGATCTCACAGTCATACTTTGAACGTGTCTTTCTCGCATATAAATCTATTAATTTGCGCACTCAACTGCGGCATAGGTTATATGCCGAATCTTCGGTTAAAAACCCTACTATATGAAAAAATACTTGCACCGATAATTTTCAGTCGAGATATGCATTGGAAATCATCTTTCTGCAGTTATAAAATGTAATAGGATTGATGATGTGGCTGTGTTTATGCTTAGAAATAGCCTCATATCTATCATGGCACTGTGTAGAGGTGTTCTTAGGTATTCATCTAGTAAACACTCTAGCTTATATACCATATATTGCACCTTTTAAAATCAGCAGGCAGCTAAAAGCATTGCAGCCAAACCTGTCTGCATGGTAGATTAACCATGCTTTCATAGTGGTTTCAATAAAAGAAGATCATTTAGACGCCGTAGTGTGCATGAAAGACAGTTTACTGAAAAAATATGCCCCACCGCTTTTCTGAACTGCCGGTACTTCAGAAATTGGCTACAGCTGTCAGCACTAGTTTTTCAAGGGTCGTACCTCATCCACACTAATGTAGGCTGAAAGTTGTTTCGATGGCAAATAAATCTTTTCGTTATATGATTTTGGAGAAGCTAATTTTCTGGGTCAGTGTAAACGTAAGTCCAGGAACGTAATGGCTTCCCTAACATATTGTCTTTGACTTGAAGTTTGCAGCAGTTGTAAGCAGAACACAGTTCCTAATGGCATATTTATGCTTAAACTGCGTTTCCTGTTGTGACTGGTAATGATAATAATCACTTGTGGCACTAAAATTTGTCTTGAAACCACGGTCATCTACACACCGATTTCATTATTTGATGTAGACAGCACTCTAGGAATAAAAGTGATGGTAGCTTATGTTCATTAATTTGTCAGTCCAGAAGCTTGTCTAAGAATCCAGTGTAGAATATATCTTGGCGCACATGACTTCGATTTTGTTATGATGATGATGACCTGCTAGAGACCGCATATGAGTGGTAACCGGTTACGGCCTTATTTACGAGATGTCCAAAAACCAAACAAGCACGAGCGGCTGGAGGCGTCACCCATTTATTTTATTACTCCGTTAGACGCTGGCGTATGGTGATGAAGCCTGACTTGTAACTTTATTTAAGACAAGTTGTTTTAATGGGACTGCTCTTATTTATTGAAACAGCTGCAGTTGCACTACCGTTAGCAGTAACATGACCATAACCATTCGTCGCTTTTTGTATACGAAAGATTGATTGACCACACTCTACTAGGATCTTAAAAACGTATTTTTATCCTGCTACAACTTTCTCCATTAAACAGGGAAGATTTACCTGGTTTATTAATAAGGTTTCTAAGGTGGCAGTGTCATGAAATGTTTCCAGTGTTCTATGATACAGTGTGCATTCTCATTTAAATGTGAAGAGGAAAGTCAGTCAATGCACCCTAAGGTTTTAGCGTTATAAAAGTGCGTTAGGTGAAAAAAATTAACTTTGTCACACCGAACAAGAAAATATTGTTAATTAGTGGTTTTGTCAAAGTGAATGTATTTGCATCCCAAATGTGACTGCTGCTTTCGTTTTACTAACTGCTAAACTTTGCATTTTGAATTATCTTACCATCTGATAGGCACTTACAACTCATAGCAGCGTCTAAAGCTTTTAATTTCTCCAAGGCAGTAAAAGTTCAGAGAAGTTCCAAGAATTCGTAAACTATATGCAGTATGTCAGAAATTTATAGCATCTGTGGTGCTTTTGAAGCCCATAGAAAGAGTTTTAGACGGCGCGAGTGTTTGATATTAGGTTCACGTTCACTTGTATTCTAATGCTTTTTCAGAGGCAAATACTGCAAGGTAGAAAATAACCTCTACCTAACTACAATCTATTGAAAAGGAAGTAAGGTGCTAAGTTGTGCTGAATAATCCATGAATGTGGCCTAAGACCGCGTTCAAGCTATCTAAAGTTAACCTGAAGTCTTTGCTGACCGGGAAGTATTCGGCTATGAATTTTAAACACCATGAATTTAATGTAGGCCAAAAGGCTTCAGAGTTCAAGTGCTCACGAAAGACAACACTTACTTTGTATATGGTAGAATTTTATGCAATTCAGCTCCTTGAAAGAACGGAATTTTTTCTAAAATCTTACGTAGTTCTCGTGCTGCAGTTATTAAATAAATCTTCTCAACTTGTGATCGCACATTGTGTTAAAGTAACTTTCTGGAAATTTAGTATAATGGTAAGCGACATACTTGTAGAAGCTAACGAAGTCAGTTTATTGAATGAACATCTATTTCAAGTGTTTTATACGTCCAAGCATATTATCGGAAAGTGAGTCAGCAACGAAGGTAAACAACTTATTTATTGAAGTTTGAATTCACTTCATACTACCTCTATCTGTAACTAGGCATTTTCGACATATCTACTCATCCAAAGTCATGCAAGGGTGAACTTAAGTAAAGATGGATAACTTCGACTAAATGTCCCTTCACTAGATGAAAACTGGTTGAGAAATCAACACATTTAGTCTTATGAAATTTCTCGAAATTGTTACAGACTTAAGCTGGACCCCGAGAAGAGAGTCTGCCAAAATTTGTAAACGATTTTTGTATATCTGCAGAATTGTAGGGTACAATCAGTCCGCATGAATTCTTTGTTTCTTTTCTTCAGTGCTTTATGAACTAAAACTTTTGATGAATTATATGCACTAAGTGATTGCAGCGTCTTTATTCTTGAGGTCCAAACAGTTAAATGCCTGCTGTGTTAAACATCATTTAAGTAGCATAGTCTATTATTTATTGAGTAAGGTAGCAGTGTTCATACCAAGTAAAACTTTAATCGTTAAACGCACTAAACACTCGGCGGAATTTTGTAAGCAAAATAAGTTGTACAATATCTTAGGCATACATAATTTATCAATCCTGAGTTTCTTTTTGCTCTGAGCTACTTTTCATATTCTTATTTTGCTGAACGTTTAGGATTATATTTCTCAGTAGATCATATGGGTAGTCTTACCTAATTTTTGTTTGAGAGCTGAGTCAGAGTCAGTGCCTTATATGACCTGTCAGAGAAAGACCACTACTGAATTGTCCACAGCTCCAATGCTTTTGACAGTAAAACTGTGGGATTAAATTGGAAAAGCAATGCTAGCTCATTTGTCTATATAGAACTGAATTCAGATTCAGGAAATTAAGACCTCTAAATAAACGTCAGTGTTAGCTAAATGCTCACGGATGCTTTGGGCCCTGGCTAATTACTCAGAAGAATTTTTAGCTACTGCAGTAATTATTTCAAACTTAAACGTACGTTTATATTTGGAAGGCGCATTGCAATTTTTCTGTTCTAGACTTTTAATAAAAAACAAGCTGCTATTTTGTTAATATTTGCTGTCAACGGTTTTATATTTGCTCACTTCAAGAGATTCTTTGAAGTTCCATGATTCGAGGTTATTTTTAAATGATTTGGTACGAATAGAATCGAAATGCAGTATCTGTGAGAAAGAAGTATCATGTACCTTGAATACCTTTGCTTTTATTACCATCCGTGCTATTTGGACACAGAGTTCCCGAAGCAGTGGTTATGTTTATACAAACTGGATCATGCTGCTGGCAGTCAATATTCGTCATAAACCAATTTCTGATTGCATCAGTCATCAACCAGAATAAAGTGTTCAAAATTATCTAATGTAGATGATATGGAGCTTACCAAGGAGAATTCTTAAAGTGTAGGATAGTTACCACAGTTGACCAAGGTTTATCACTGATTCTTTCTGATATAAAGATTTTGACAGCATGAAAAAGCAGTTGGGACGCATATAACCACATAACTATGTGGTACAAGTAAATACGCTGTTGCACCAGTGCCATATTTATCTAAGCAGTAAAATGTGGTTGTGATAGTTCGTAGGCTCATTTACAAAAGCCCTTTTGTCACTCTAAATTGCTCCAAACTGTCAAATCACTTCTCCGACATCAATGAAACAACTTCAGTAGACCATTCAATCGTTAGCAAATATTTGGCAAACTGACTTGTCAAGGCACACATTTGTGAAAAATCCCCATTTATTTTATATCAATGAACAATTTAGTGCTGTCGCTTTCAAATGATTGGGTAGAAGGTGAGAAAATTTTAATCCTCCCCAGCGTTCATACAGTTCAGTGCATTATCAACAGTGATTTGTGCTATTCAGCTGACTTTACAAAATGTTTGTGAAATCTGTAGGATAATCTGTGTTTGTCTGGCCATAGTCAGACTTGCTTTATCCCATCAACTGGTTGACTTTCGCGGTCTTCTGTTTTTATAATGTTTTAGAGAATTAGCTTCGATTGAAAAGGAAAACCCATCGGAAATGTTCAACTGAAAATCATCTTGCGGTAACTTAGAAATAAGACGTGATTATCATGAAATAACATTCAGGCCTAAACAGAATTCGCTAACCAAAAAGTAATTTGTTTTTAGAGTACTATAAGTTGTAGGTCATGTTGTCAGATGAGTGTTAAAAACACATACCAAAACTAGTTGCTGCATATTGTCTATCATACCATCAACACCAGACGGACACTAGTCAATAAACGACCAGTGAATCTGTTTTAAAATGTCTAGCTGTCTACACCTTGGGAAATTTCATATTCCTAACCCTTAAAGATGTAATATTATTATGTTGCTTATGATGTAGAATCATTAACTTATAGCTGATGAAGCTCACAGCTGCGTTCCACAACAGGTTCGCATTTTAGGAATATATAAATGAAATAATTTGGCATTTAACCAATGACCAGGGATAACTTAGATGCTTCAAGAGTGATCATATTAAGAGTCTGTGGTGGCCTTCAAAAGTTCCAACGAAGAGGCATAAAGTTTGTATACCATTCGATAACTAAATATTATGTTTCGTTGTTACTATTCCCACAGAGATATCTGTTGCCTGAACGCATGTATCTCCCTACAAAGAAGCTGTATGTTTGAAAATACGGCATCGTATAGACAACTCACTAAATATTTACTTACGTGGCTTTTGTGAAAGAAAAATAGCATGTAACAGTCATAATCAAATATGGGTAATGCAAAGAAGGATGTAGCGAGACATGGACATCTCACAGTCATTTTGAAAATTTTCGACAACTTTACTGACATTTAGGAAGGACAGACGTAGAGCTTGGAGAGAATTTCATATATCTAGTTGCTTACTTGTTGATTCTCGCTATTTTATACATCCATTGTTAATAGGCCTCATTTAGTCATTTTAGTGTAGAACTGTACTCTTCGAAAATGTTTTCTGCAGTACTTGAAAGATATATTTCACTGCTTATCTCATTAAACTTATTTTTTCCCATCTTTTGCAGATAAGATAATATTTGTTTTGCACTGATGAAGACAGGTATGTGACTGAGTAGTATTCAGTCTAGCTTTCTGAATACTTATATTATCAGACTCAGCACAAGGAAAGCCTTGTTTGCATTCAAAAAATGTAATAGCTTTATACGACATTTGGTCCTTCAATCATTTCAGATCATGCCACCATATTCAGTCTGGGAAATCACTAAATAACCTAGGAAGTAGGTGAAAACAGAATCCCACTGCACAGTACTTTTAAGAATAGAACTTGTATTCATTTAAAAAACTGGGGTGAAATATTGCTTGCTACTTTTGAAGTTCATTTCATCCATGCAGCTAAGAACAAATTACCTACTTTACATTCACTCACAATTTAAAGCTATTCTCAAGAAACAATAAACAACAGTGGCATATTGCGTACGGAGCAATCAATGAGTTAAAAGAAGTATTTACAAAACCAGAATGGAAGTCAGAAAAGGTGTCTAAGTAAGAGAAATGTAAGGGAAAAACTTGAGCACTATGGTAGAGTATGCTTCAGTATTAGATTGTTCATTCGATATAGTATACGGTGACACAGTGTAATTTACTGCATGACGTTTCGAGCAGAATTTATTGCTCACATTCAAATCGAAGTAAACACATGACTTTCATATGTAGAGGGAGTTTGAAAGTCGTATGATTACTTTTATATGAATACGAGCAATAATTTTGCTGGAAAAGTCATACAACAAATTATACTCTGTCACTGTATGCTATGTCAAATCAACAACCTAATATGGAATTAGGAGAATTGTGTTCATCAAATTAAATTAAACGGTTTCCACTCTTTTATTTTTTTTGATGTGTAGCTGGGTGGTTTCGGTACAGTGAATAACAAAGTGGTTTTTTGAGTATATTTTCCTTGTCTTGCTAAATAATGCTTCCTCAGAACTCAGTCACTTTATATGTGCAAGGCCAATAATATGAAATCAATGCACACTTAGATTATTCAGATAATCCACTAACATCGATAAGAAAATTGTAATAATCATAACAAAACTGGTGCTATAATTTAATAAACTAAAAATCTGGATATTTCAGTTTCTTAATCACTAAGGAAGGCAAATAACTCATTTAAGCAATACAAAAAACATCTTTAACCGCTGAGAAAACGTTTAAAGGGACAGCTATTCCTTACTTTTACGGGGAAAAAATGCACATGCACGTGATAACTGAAGGAAAGAGAGAAATGTATTGCCAGTTATTTTGATTATCCATCTCGTTCCACGAGATGGACCGAGCCAAATTTCTTCAGCTGCATTTTGTTGGTTACTTGAAAAATGTAGTTTTCTTAACTATTTTTATTTAGGAACAGCGACTTTGCACAACTAAGAAATTGTTCTTAAGTTACAGTAGTGTATTTGGTGCTTGAAATGTGAAGTATGATAAAAAAAGTATCCCATAAATTTAGTTTTTACTCATCGCCATTACAACTGATTGGTTGACCTTTTATAAAACCTACAGGTATTTCAAACCACAGTATTATGTCTAAAGGCAATGAGAAACTCAATCCATGTGATATAGGTAAGTTACTGCAATATAACACAAACAATCACATTATGATACAAGATGAGATCGAAGTAAGTTCAGATATATCTGGAAAAGAAATAAAGCATTCTAACACACTTGGAACAATGGAGAGTTTTGTCGCACAAACATATCGTGCAAAGTTTTTTGGAAACATTTCTGTATCTGAACCACGTGGTGACTTTATTTGTGAGAGATCGCTTGGACTTCTAAAAGCTCAGTTGTTAACATCAAAGTTACACAAGAAAAGAATTAGGATCCGAGTGGACACCAGTGGAATTAGTGTGCTTGGGTCACGGAATTCTGTAAGCTTTCTTCACTTTTAATTTGAATAAATCTATATTTCCCTATTAGGTTGTTTGTTTGATGGTTTTAGAAAAGTAGTGTAAATTTACTCAGTTACTATATTTCTAACCTAATCGATCGGCTTACAATTTAGGACTTAAAGTGGTTGGCATACAAAACTACAAAAGATGTGAATCAGGTCTATAATGTTTTGTAGCTGTCTCTAGCAAGTGTTACCGATTTTTTATGTCATGGTAAACACCAGGAGCATCCTTTGGACTGTCGAAGATACACTTCATTATTAAGCAAGGCTGTATATTAGTCTCAATTGTATAGAACATGTTAAAGGACTTGTTGTAGACTGTTGAATTTGAGAAAGTGGAAGAATTAAGATTACATAAAATGAATAGCTGGTTTTTTAAATGGACTTCAGAAAATTAAGTTACAGAGTTCAACTTAAGTCTTTGAAAATTTGCTGTATAGAATTACGTTTTGCCTTATAAATAGAAAATATCTGAAATTTTCTTTTACATATATATATAATACAAACTATTCATGAACCTTTACCAGTCAGTGGTTACAACATATGGATTGTGCAAGAAACAGGGACAAAAATTGTAATATTTCTCATAATAAGAGTGATGATGAGCATTATTTTAACGCCAAGGTAATGCAGACAGATGACGTGACAAACTGTTTTAGTGAAAGCTTGGAAAAAGAAATTAACATTGAGTAATACTAAAGGATTAAGTTGATGGATAACAAAATAGAAATGTAAATTAAGTATTGGTAGGAAAAAAGGGAAGCAGTGAGAATGTTACTTTAATGCTGTAAGTTTTATAGTTATCATGAACATCAAATAATTTCCCTCAGTGTAAATCAACCGTCAGTGGAGATGGATTGGGCAGACACTAAGAAGGCCGATTGGGACATCACGCACCAGGCCAGGTCGTCAAGTAGAATCCGAAGGGGAACGACGAGTTGTGTGTCCCAGCTGAGGGTAACATGGAGGAGATTATATGAGGAAGGAATGAAAGCTTGTTGGCAGTCGTGGAGCCAGGTTGAAAAGACTGCAGAGAACAGAGTGCAATGGAGGCGTGCTACTGAAGCTCTATGTTCCACTAGGAACCCAAGGGAAAATAATAATCATAACAATAAATAAATCAGCTGTCGGCAGTGAAGGTGATGGTTAGTCACACATCTAACCGCAACTGAGTGCAATGTACTGAAGAAAGTTTCTAATTATATTCAATTTGTTTTGATGTTAAAGCTTCAGAAACTATAGTGAGAGATTTGGTAGCCATCCTAATGATCGAAAATTTTCTTGCCTGTCAGTTAGAAATCGACTTCTTTGCCCGATATGACACATGACCAATCTTATCAAATACAGTTTGTGTAGGCATTACCCTGATAAAAAAGTCACCTGGCTTGCTTGTTCGGAGAAGGTAGACAAAGCTTAAAGACAAGTTCACTTATTAAGAACTGCATAGATGAGTTATACAATAATACGGGAAAATCTTAAGAGTTTGAAGAACTTGTTTAGTTACCTGCATCAGAACTAAGGAATATGAACGTGCAGGTTGTAAGGCAGCACGATAGAAATGCAAATGGTGGATAAATGTACGAAGATTCCTGCCCAGTTAAGCAGGTGTAAAAACTTTGCAATGAACCATTCCCGGTTTTTAGAGCTTGCCTACTTCTAAAAATATGGCCTTTTTCTTGTTTTCAAAGAGGCTTCATTTAGACAAAAATAAGTACGCCTCTTTACTAAGATTTTGACTATTTCCAGTCTATACAATTCATTGTTCATCATATATAGAACCGAAGGCATTATTCGATGTACCACTAACCTTGACAAAACATAAACGTTCGAGATGTAGCTAGTGTTAGTATTATAAAGTACATCATAGCAACTTCACATAAAGCCAAATTGTCTTGTATTCAAGTGAAATTAAAATACTATATTTAGTTTAGAATACTTGGAATAAATATTTTGGATATGTGTTATCATATTGAAAATTCAAATGTCTTTTTTTGTTTTGTATCCTTCATTAATTCAGACAGTGCACCATATACATAATTTTGAAAATATAACATTTATTTGGACTGACCCTTGTGATTTACAGTCATGTGGAATAATAGTCAGACAAACATTACTCGGTGAAAACACTTATGAATTTTATGGTTATAAACTATATCAGAATGTAAGTTTAAGTAAGCAGTGTCAATTTATTGATTTTTGAACAGATTTATTGACTGTTCATACAAGTGAATAATGTCAGAATGGAACACATTATAAATAAACTATGCTTTTGGGATTAGTGAAAACTTTATTTCATAAAACTTTGGCTAGTGATGATACCACAATATTATGTCAACTAATAAATATATAATGCTGATTGTGTGATAAGGAAACAGAAAATGTAGGAGCACTATGCTAGAATCTAGTTCCAATTTAGGTAGTTTATTAGAAATATTACAGTAAAAAAATGTTAGAGATCTCAAACTATCCTTCATATTATGTGAAGATTTAGACACAGAGATAAGCCTCACTTTTCCTATTTTCATTGTTTCGTGTTATTCTGAAAGGTATGTGAAGTCGCAGCCCATCGATGGAACAATTAAGCCACTTATTCGAGAAATTTTTTAATGTATAGCATTCTTTGAAGTAAACTAGAAAATAGCATTGTAACTTCTGACTAATAGATCGAAATGATTAATTTCTTTGACTTTTGGTTCCACTCACCATTTACTATAAGTTAGAATTTGTCGTCTCATTTTCATAATATTTTATTTAAATATTCATTGAGTTAGTTGGGATAAGCAGCTGATCAATATTTTTTTCTATTAAACTGCACAAAGGTAACGATCAGTAAAATTTCTCACCTTATTCGAAGACCTTCATTCATCATCAAGTAATCTGTGAGCCTTATGAAGGTTATCAGTTATTGTTTTGATAAGAGCAGTTCAAAAAAGTTATCCGCAAGTAACTGGAATTTCACCGACATATTTTCGAAATACCTCTTTAGTCATTCAAAGCTGTTAACGTTCGAAGTATCATTTCAAAAATTTTCATAAAAAAGCTAACAAGATGACGAAATATTTACAGTCACTCGGAAACTATGCAATTAGTGTATAAAGGCAATGACTGTTTTAAGCGAAACAGAAATGTGATAGTGAAAATCGATATAATTTTGAATGCTTATTTCCCTGCCTTGTATCCATCCAACTGTTGTCACCTTACTCGTTATTTCGACTATTAAATGATAAAATCATTAGTCATGCTCAATAAGCTTTCAGGACATAAAGTGAAAAAATAAAACTGAAAATTTAAGTTAAAATTAAACTACTTAACTTGCTTCATGAACGAGGGATATAGAAAATTTTTTCAGATTAGATAGTTTTGGAACAACTATTGCCTACCTACAGTTAAAGCAGATAACAATCAGTCATATATATATATATATATATATATATATATATATATATATATACATATATATATATATATATATATATATAAACTTTTAGGTACGACCGAAAATAGTAGTGATTCTTGTTCATGATAAGCGTTCTGGTATTACGTTCATCATATGTTGGATCAATTATTATAATTTTAAAATCGATTATTGCAATCACGAATTTAAAAGTTATGCACTTATGTCTCCACCACGTGAACAGTGCTGAGGTCAGGCGAAGTGTACTAGGCAAGTCAGGAAAGTCGATTGATAAGATCGTGAACTAAATTCGACTGAGAAGGCTTGAACATGTACTTCGCATGCCAAGCTAACGCCTACCTTGATGTGTGATACCAGGGGAAACTTAATTAATTGCAAAAGGGTTCGGGGTGGCCAGACTAAAGCCAAAACGAAGGTTTTCAATTTATATTTCGCTTCGATAAGCTGTTTAATGTTATGGCATTCTGAGATTATAAGATTCCTGAATAACTTTTTTTCTGCTTATCTTTATTTTTCAGACTCCAAAATTAATTGGTGCTTTAAAAAAATATACTCAGATCTTCATTTACCACCATCCAGTGAAGTAAGCCAGTGTCATCATTTATCAGCCATACTTAACTTGTAACGTATAGTGGATGAAAGGCATGTAAACTGTTTTTCAAAAATGGTTAGCTGAATTTCTAAACAGTCTAGTTGAATCTTGCTGTAATGATGTTCAGTTCATCCTTAAGTACTGGAATTTATCTATTAATTAGTCAACTTTTTCAACCTGCATAACTAAACTAAAGATCATTTTAGCATCTTGGTAGATTTCCCCACGCAAAACTGAGTTCAAAACCTTCTGATCATCTGACAGTCACTTGGCTGTTGAACAACTGGCTCACAAAAGATACAAAGAACTTCTAAGTTTGTCAAGTAATTTCGCTAATTGGAAAATATTCAGATCTGTAAACTGCTTAAAGTTAGCACTGAAGAACACTGCCTGCCATTCATATAATTAGTTAGGTAGTAGTGAAATTTTCTACAAGTATGTCAGAATTCCCTGTAGTTGTGAGTTTTTATTATATATAAAGTTAACTACTGGTATCGCTTGCTTCGTGAATTGATAAATCTGACATAAAATTCCAGGTTTATTTAACTTCACTTATATCAAATAATTCACTTATGTTGTAGTTTTGCCGTAGCAGTATACTCCACTATTATTTCTTTTTTTATAATTTTATTTCAATATAGACATCGTTCTGAGATCAAGATGTCAACCGTTCATAAAACATTTACGCTTCATTAGTTTTAAATCCATGTGTGAATATCAATATTTTATTGTCTTCAATTCAAGTGTGATTTATAAAAATTTGCATTTTCGTTTCCAGTAGATTGCTTACAGGACGCGATATAAACTTGTAATCAATCCATGTTAACACATCCTAGATATGACCATAAGGTGCCATTCTTCTTATCCGGCTTTACTGTTTTAAATAAACTGAACACTAGTGAGAAGAGTTGAAATGAAGCACGTTAGGCATCTCGCACTTATAATTATAATCTTTTGGTCGAAACAGAAGTATGATGCAGTGTAATGCAAATGAAATCTGGAAATGAAACTAAAAACTGACTGATGAATATTTTCATGGGAAATTTTCAAACTTGAAGATAAGTTTTATTCAAACAGTTGCAGTTGTTGCATAATCAAAAGAAAGTCACTTTGAAACAAAGTAAGAAAAAACAAATTCTGAGAATAAAATAAAGAGATCTTATTTCAGGGAAATTCATCAACTACATAGAACCTAAAATAATATATGTCACTGAACGAATGGTCAAAAGAAAACAAAATAACTATGACCAATAACATTATGTAGAGAGGAAGATATGCAATTAAAATTTCATCGAATTATCAGGGTAAAAGAGAGATTATTCTGTATCTTTTTGTATGCAAAACTCATGTTAAAAATGCCTGATTGCAAAGGCCTCAGCAAAGCTTGATAAACTCAAAGATTTTGTTTGTTAATTATCCTGAAGGTATCAAAGATACCTGTTTCTTGTTCATCTTCTGTCAATTGTTTGGCTATCAAACTTATAAGAACCTTTTTTACTTTTGAATGCAAATTCGCTGGGAAACGCTAGTAAAATGAAATAGATGCCCTTCTCCGAATCCCTCCTGTGAATATGATTCCTTTCTATTGAAAGAGTTTTGATCACATCCGTCTTTTAGTTTCCTGGTTATTTGTGGGCTTACACATTTATTCAGTTGCTCAGCAACTTCTGCGGATGGAGTCTTTGTTCGTTTGAAGACATTTTTACAGGTCTGAGGTTATCGATCTAACGTTTATAAATTATCATTATCTTGACTAAAGTAAGTATATTTAAGTAGCATGCAGGTGACAAATATCCATGAAGCTTAATGATATCATATTATTCTGAAAGTCTGTTCATTCTTACTTTGTTCAAAATTGTTATGTAAAGAAAATACAAGAAACTACTCTTTGTTCTCAGTCAACTATATTGGGATGCATGGAGTCAGACGTAAAATAGGATAAAACTAAATAATGAATTCATAACGAACTAGCCCTATTCTGTCATCGCATAAAGAGCAGTTGCGAAAGATCAACTACTCACAACATTTGCGTACTGATTATGATTATCATTTAGAAGTAGTATTCATCATGGACTGACATCAGTTGGGAAACCATTGGAAATCTGGGAGCACTGGACAGCTGTCTCGTCCTAGTATGGGACTCCTCAGCAGTACGCACCCACGACCGGGCTAGGGGTCGAACTCAGGACCCTCAGGTTTCACGGCGAACGCGTTAACCATTCAGCCACTGGGTCGGTTCCAAGTGGTTCACAATTTCCAACTTCTATCAATTCATGACATAGTGCGACTGTCACCCAAGGTCTTCAGTTAGCATCCACTTCACTTCCGACTGGTTGACCCCACAGGTCACGGCTTCTCATTAGAACTTCCTAACCGACCCAGTGGCTGAATGGTTAACGCGTTCGCCGTGAAACCTGAAGGTCCTGAGTTCGACCCCTAGCCGCATACTGATGAGGAGTCCCATACTAGGACGAAACAGCTGTCCAGTGCTCCCAGATTTTCAATGGTTCCCCAACTGATGTCAGTCCATGATGAATACTACTTCTAAATTAAAAATTCCCATTCATCTCAAAATATGATTATCATTATTTTCCCTTGGGTTCCTAGTGGAACATAGAGCTTCAGTAGCACGCCTCCATTGCACTCTGTTCTCTGCAGTCTTTTCAACCTGGCTCCACGACTGCCAACAAGCTTTCATTCCTTCCTCATATAATCTCCTCCATGTTACCCTCAGCTGGGACACACAACTCGTCGTTTCCCCTTCGGATTCTACTTGACGACCTGGCCTGGTGCGTGATGTCCCCAATCGGCCTTCTCAGTGTCTGCCCAATCCACCTCCACTTCCTTCTGTATGTTTGTTTGGCAACAGGTTCTTGGTTGGTTCGTTGCCAGAGTTGCTTGTTGCTTATTCTTTCTGGCCATCTGGTTTTCAGCATCGAGTGAGCATGGGTGGCAGCTGTTGAAGAATATCTGTAGTTTGTTGTAAGTGCTTTTCGTAAAGTGCCAGGTTTCTCAACCATATAGAAGCACTGACTTGACTGACGTTGGTGTTGAAAATCTGGATCTTGTTTTTTGTGCTGAGTGCAATAGATCTTCACACTCATTTCAGATCAATGAACGCCTGTCTTGCTTTTCCGATCCTGGCTTTAACATCCTTGTCTGTGCCGCCTGTAGTTGAAACGGTGCTGCCTAGGTGGGTGAAAGAGACTACTTCCTTTAGGTTTCTCTCGTTAATGGTGATTGGTACTTGTTGTTGATGCTGCTGTTCGCTGGGTATCTTCAACACCTCCGTCTTCTCTGCATTTGCTTGAAGGAAGTCCCGTCTTCGCTGCCTCTTCTGTCAACTTGTTGGTTTTAGCTGTAGATCTTCGAGTTTGTGCTACAAGACACTAGACATAAATCATCCGCGAAATCCGAATCTTCTAAGTTCTTTTCCGCGGTCCAGCGTATCCCCCACTTCTCGCTCCTCACTGTTTGCCTTATGATCAGGTCCAGTCTACTACAATCAGGAAGATCATGGGTGATAGTAGACAGCCTTGTTTTACTCTTGTCTTCACTTCAAAAACAACACTGAGCTTGCCATTGTGAATTACTTGGCATGTGGCGTCTCCATATAGCTGCTGAATGAGGTTGATAAAGGTTTGTGGCACTAAAACTGTAGTGTTGAGGCGGTTCCCTGTCAAACTACTTCTCGGTCAGCGCTGTCAAAGGCCTTTTCAAAGTCGATAGAGTTGAGGTCGAGATCCAGTTGACTGGCATTCTATACTCTGTTCAATGATGATGCGTAGGATTGCAATTTGATCCGCACATGATCTGCTCTTCCTGAAGCCAGCTAGCCTGTTCATGTTGTAATTTTGTTTCGAGCCCATGCTGTAGTCCCTCGACGATGATGCGGCTCAATATTTTGCTTGAAGTGAACAGGGACAGGAGTATGCTTCCGCGCCAGTTCTTGCAATGACTTAAGTCTCCCTTCTTTGGGATTTTGACAAGGTACCCCTTCTTCTAGTCTGCAGGTATCTTTCCTTCCTTCGAAACCTTCTGCAATAGTGGTATGGTATGAGCATGTCCACTGTTGCCTCTGCATCTGTTTTCAGTGCTTCAGGCGGAATTCCATTTGGTTCTACTGTTTTCCCAAATTTCAACAACTTTATGGCATTCAGGACTTCTGATTTTGTCGGAGAGCCTGTGTTCACTGGTAGTTCTGCCGTTGCTGGTGGTATTTCTATACGAAGTGCAGGTGATTGTCGATTCAAGAGCTTTTTGAAATGGTCAGCCCATTATTTCCTTTGTTTCTCTTCTTTGATAACTAGGTTTCCTCCACTATCTTTCTTTGTTTCGTCTGCATTGACCTCTTCCCGGATAGTAACTTGGTTATTTGATATAATGTCGTCAGGTCTCTCCTACCTGCAGCCTCTTCTGCTTCACTTGCCATTGTGTCGTAGAAGTGTTTTTTGTCTTTCCGTGCACTCTTCTTCACTTTTTTGTCCAGTGTTCTATACGTTGTGCTCAGTTCTTCTTTTCGGTGTGCATCATTGCACCGGTTCATATTCTGCCTCACCATCTTTCTATCTTTTGTCAGCTTCCATGTGTCCGTAGAGATCCATTCCTTGTCTGGTCTTGTTTCCTCTTCCTTCCTAGCACGGTTATGCAGGTTTCTTTCCATATTTCTTTCAAAGGATTTCAGTGTTCTTCCACATGTTGGTTCCCTCAGGGATGTTGCTCATTGTCTCCCATTTTGTTCTGATGGCTGATGTGAAGATTTCCTTTGTAGTTTCATCATTCACTTTCTAGGTGCTGAACTTGAACTGTGGTCTATCATCACCAGCTTCTTTGAAGGCTTTCAACTTGATTTTGAATGCAGGTTCCTTGCACTAGAAAGTGAGCGGGGTGAACCTACATCTGCTCCCCTTCTTGATCTTGTGTCTAGTAGGCTGCATCTCCACTTTCTTGAGGTTGAGATGAAGTCAGTCTGATTTTGAGTGTGTCCATCTGGTGAAATCCATGTTGCTTTGTGAATATCCTTGTGCGAACTGATAGTAACTAAAAACTAACTATAAATAGTAAACCCAATCTTTTCTGACGTAATAAGGTGATTCAATGAGTTTCTGTAATCCTATGATACTTATAATTCAGAGAAATGTCAAATCCAGACAGATTGTGGTGATAAATTGTGTTCCTGAAATCTATTCCACGTTTATTTGTGGTCATAAAAAAGAGACGGTATCCGGAATCTTATTCAACAGTTATTATTGTCCTATGAAAATATAATGCCCGAAAATTGTTATGGTAAGCTGTTATGCAAAAATGAAAACCAGAGAATTTTTTATACACCAAACTACAGTTAAGTGACAGTAAGTGTAATCCTATACTATGTATTGACAAGTGACAAAGTTGTGCACAAATGTTCCGAACTAGAAAACTAAACATCTTGTCTCATATTCTAATTCTCTCAAAGCCCTAAGCTGGTGTTATCATGTACAATGAGGATTTCATATTGACTGACTTATGCAGAAAAAATTACTGCTTCTTTTTCAGCACTAAACACTGAAAAAAAATATACACTACTCATATCTATAATTAATATTTATACGTATTTCAGTTAATAGTCTTTTGGATACTTAATTTCGCGAATAATATGTATATTTCCGCAGGAAGTACCCGATTCTTCAGAAAATACCAAGGATACAGTACCTTCCGAAGCCAAAGAGGAAAATGATTCTGATTTGATTCAGTTGGTGGATATTAGTGATAATGTTAATCCATCAAAAGAAATGAAGTGTCCTGATATTAAATCAAAAGTAAGATTTCACTATTTTGGTGGTGTTAAGTATCTGTGTTGCAGGCCTAAGCATACGTGAACTTCAGGAAGTATGTTACGTCATTGTACTCATTTTATACGGCTCATTGTTTTCCAGATTTTTTGTCTAACACTTAATTTACCAATGTTGAGATCGTCTTGCGAATCTGAACTGTTGACGAACATATTAAAGAAAGCATTGATGGATTAGTGGGATAGCTTTTCATCTGTCATATTATTCGAAAATTTAGTTTTACAGTTTCTAATAAATTTAGAGTGGCATATATATAAGTACAGTGAATTTCTACCAAGTAAAGTGGTTAAAAACGTACAAAGTCATCTTTCAGCCCCCTAACAAAATAGTGATCAATCCCTTTAAGAGTAATTCAGTTATTGCAGCGACAGTGTAACTAGTAAAAATAATCACATAATTAGTGTTGCTTACATAAAATGAATAAAATGGACCAGCAACATTTGTTAAAATGATACTTGCATGATAAAAGTTCACGAAAAGAATGAATTGTGTTCAAATATATTCAAGAAATATTGATAGATAGACATGTAAGTGTGTAAGATTAACCTTGCTAAATAAGATTTCCTGATATTGTTATCAATAAAAGCCCTACAACTGCACCCGGCAAGTCATGATTTCGAAAAGAGCATAACATTTATTCAGTGACTGGCGTAATAAAAGACATAATACTTGATTCTTCTTCGGTAGCCTTAACTGTAATTCAACGGCTGATTCAGATGTGAAGTGAAAATTTATTAAATCTACAACCAGTTACCACTTGAATTTTATTTAATGAATGATAACTCTTAGCTAAGTGCAACAGGAATGACCTGCAGTCAATTTTGATGAGTTTTTCAACATCAATGAATAAAGGTTTTCAAAATTTCACTGTATCATAAAAGGAAGATGAACATGTTTTTCTGTGCAGAAGGAAGTAGACAGCCAAAGAAGCACTGAAATGACTTTACTAAGTAACCTTTCATATTTCCTAAAAAACTGATCAATGAACTTAAAAGTGAGTAACCTGTGTAAAACGTGCTGGGCTAAACCAACAATATATCTAGTCTTCAGGAACAAGGATTATATTGTAAGTAACCTCTGCTAAAAATGTCCCACTCATTTTTACATGCAGTGTTGTAATAGAATTCATGTTCCGTTTCCAAAGTTTCAAGTAGAACTAAGTTTAAACTTGTTTTTTTAAATATTTAATTATTGTTCAAATTAGGAAAACATTAACCAGCATCAAGTGGAAGACATTCATCAAAAAAATATTTTCAAACAGTTTGTCTGTTCGGTCAATTTCAAGAGGGTATTCAGAAGAGAAATTTTACGAGATGATACTAATTCGTAGTTCCTTTGAATTCACATAAGAACTAACATTATGCACAGTAAGGAAGCGATATAAATCAGGTTTCATCTCAGATTGTCCAATAAAAATGTTTCAAATGAAGCACAGAGGGTAGCTTATTTGAAAATATCCAAGCAGCATAAGCAGACGAAGATCAGATTTGTTCATTAAAATTTAAGCTTAAATGATAAATTTACGTCGATTTTCGTTTTTGTAGACAATTTTTAACCCCTCATGTATGCTGCAGTTTAATGCAGGTCTCCTTAGGTACTGATGAAGACGGAATGAAACTGGGAATTAGATAATACTAAGCTTTTATTTCCTTTGATGATATTAAAGGGCATTCAGTTTAGAGCAAGCCCATGATAAAATACAATATCATATTATTTGGCTTCTAAAAACTGCACAACTAAGAAGTTAGCCTGCAGTGAATACTGCTTTGACAAAGATATCCTTGCTGTCAAATAAAAGCACGCCATCTGAAATCTTTATTCACATCATCATGGGCAGGTAACACTTAGGTGTTTTGTTTCCTCTCACTTCCATTGGTATATCAGAGTAGTCACAAGGGATTTAAGTTTGACATGCATACAACAATACATACAATCACCAAACTATTGCTGAATATTATAAAACTTATCTCCAATTTACTCGTAAACTTGACTATATTACAAGTGAACAGGAAGTTTGCTTTAGTTGTCTTAACTTTTAAAGATCCCCATGCTGAATATTATAACAGGAATAGGCAAATTTAACCTGATAACAGTGTAACATCTAGAGTGCATGATAAACAAGATATAGTTTATTGTTTTTCATGAATTTGTTTCAGTGCTCGGAGTATATTTTAAAAATCAAAGGAATTTATTTATGAAGATTCATTCCACCTCCTAAAATAAGCACATCTTTCTGTTGCTAGTAAACATTTTGTTTCCATTTGTTTTATAATATACATATTTTGTTTGAATTAAAAATTGGAGGAAATTGGAAGCAAATGGACAGCCTTCGATGATCATTTCGATAAGCAAGAAAGTGTCTTGAAAAATTGTGTGCCTGTGGATTCGAGATCTCAGAATTCAAACAGTCTGCATTTCGCCAGCTTTAACCAAGGTTTTTGTAAGTACAATTACTGTTCATTAAAGTTTTTCACTCACCAAATAAGTATAGTTAATGGAGAAGCTGATAGATTAAGTTTATCGCAGCAGAGATTTCTGAGTTATTCTGAAATATTTTTGATCGAAATAAATTAACATGCCTAACATCAATGCAAATACAAGAGCATAAAATCGTTCACTGATCTCCGCTATTCCTACAAGTATTTTCCTAGCTGCCTTGAAGTATACCAGAAACAATAAACAAGAACATAAATGCAGTGAATGAAAAGTTTAAGGTCTTTTACTTTAGAAGTTTGATATGATGGTCAATTTGCAAATGTTTTACAAATTGGTTGGTCCACTTTGACATTCCCTGCAGCTGGTTAGTTTTTCAACCCCTAAAAGTAGTGTCCAGAAACTTTTCTAAGGAAACTACCCAGAAAAGATCATTAGGTGTCGTCTCCTTCACCAAAGTGTTATGAACTAACTAAATGTACTTCTGAACAACTTGAGTAGTTAGAAAGCGCTTAGGCTGGTCTGTAGATTTTGTCACGCATATTAGAATGAGATAAATACCGGACGTCCGTTTCATTCGATTAGGGCCCTGCAGTTTACAAATAATTTGAAAAATTGATCATCTTATTTAAGGTATACCTGTCCTTGCAAGTCAGCTAGTCACATTCAAACAATATGGAAAGTCCGTCTATACTAGCTATATTTGTATGAATACACCGCTGATGAGCCCAGTGCCAAATGAGCAAGACGGTCGTCTAGTGTTTCGATCATTCTGGCAGTGCTAGCAAAATCATAAAATCAGCCTGTGCGGCTTCTAACTACTCAGGTTGTTCTGTGATGCACTCAAGAGCATTAGGAATTTCATTCCTAGACAAATGCGTTAATACCGAACATAGTTAAACGTCACTATATTGATCATTTCCAGCAATGACTACCAGTAGTCATGCAAACATGCTAATGGATACAACAGGCTAGTAGGGTTTGATAACAAGACAATAAGATAGCAATCACCAAAATTAGGGACCATTTTGTGATGCTGAGCTTGTCGAATTGTACATCAAAGTATTTTCTACTACAAGTGTGGAGTTTAATCACCAATTTTTGTGTCGCATCACCTTTGAAGGGAATAATTCAGACATTTTGAAATAAACTATGTGGGATCTAACCATGAATTAGTGAACACAAATGTAGTTGTTGACGTATGTTTTACGTCATCCTACATCTTCGCTTTGGTCAGATTCATCTCGCCCACCTTTATGTACTACATATATTCAGAATATAGATTAAACTAAAGACGAAGGTACAACTGAAGTTTGTATTTATGGAAAGTTTACTGCTAGGTGTCAAGCAGGTAAGTGATTGCAAAATCCAATGTCCAGTAATTTCATGTTAACCTAGTTAATCCGATATGGATCGCAAGTACACAGTGTTATTGTGTAGATAATTTCCTGAGCACTATTTATTGCTCGTAATCATATTCAATCATTAACACAACTTTCATACTTTACCTAGTTTTTAAGGTAAGTGATTATTTTGATACTTCAATCAGCAATACAAGATGCTCAAAACATATAGCCAACAATATTGTCCATTAAAATCATGAAATACATATTTTTACTGCAGAAAGGTTATTCAAAGTTAATTATATGTTGTCTTTCGAGAAAATATGTAAATCTAAAGTAGACCAATAGTCAATGTCAACTCAAAAACGTTATTTAAACCTATGTTAGAAATTTCCATATTACTGAAGACACTTCAGATACCAATTTATGAAAGCAAAATATCATGAAGTAAATACTGGATTAGCACAAAGCTACTAGGAATTATCTGTTATCTGACAAAGTACTCTTACTTGAAAAAAGTGAGAGTACAACTGCAATAAATATGCTATGCTAGTGTTTAATGTTTCAGGCTTATAATACAGAAAATTTTGATTTAGGTTGCTTGTCTCAAACGGAATAGGAAACACAGTTCTTTTCCTTCTTCCTCTTCATGCTCCACAAGACTAAATACATTTCATTGCCCGATATAATCTATCTGCAAAGCACCTACTTTCTAGCTAGAAACGAATTTCAGCAGATATTTATATTTCACTATATATATATATATTTATATATATATATATATATATATATATATATATATATATATATATATATATATATACAATAATACACTACCAACCTTTTTTCAATAATGACAGTGACAGTATCTCTCGAATAAATTGTGCTTTGTGCTCTGTCCTCATTTTATCATGCATAACACTGATGAGTTTGATAAATGTTTATGCTGGCATACGTTTAATTCATCAAATATACTGAACATCATCATTGTGAGCTTTATTTTGACTAATATTTGCGATACTTGAAAGACAGTTAATTTTTCAATTAAGCCTCATTTTTTTTTCTGGTGTTAAGTCTCACAAACGAATGCCAGTAGTCAGATGTTCAATTCAAAAAATAACTCTAGTTCAATAACAGAGGTATTTGGGCCTCTACCACTTGGTGCAACTTCCTATTTCAGTCATACTCTACAACAGCCAGTTTTTGGCCATCTCCACTCTCCAGTATTCAAACTGTAAGTCAATGTGTTTCAAATGCATACACTTGTTTTTCAAAGTTATTTGCTTGGTAATGGTATACAATAATGTGATTGTAGTTTCTCCATTCAATAAAGTGATTTTTGGATATTAGTTACACCACCCAGACAACTACTGCTGCCAATAAACAAAGGTTTAACCTTTCGGACAGGTTGCCACTTAATTAAATATCTTTTATAATCTTTTGCAGTAGTGATCGAGCAAGTTATAGTTTAATATATTATTGGGATGTAATTTAAGTATTGGATAGAAAAGATGGAATCAGGAATTACTCTTAATTATCACTAATTAACTGTGTTTACTTTATTTCACATAAGTATGAATTCAGCGGTTGATTTTTATCAATTTTCACAGTAGGTAAATGAGATGATATTTGAAGTTCATTCAACTATGTTTTTTGTTTCCTGCATATAGTTTCTACATTTAGTTCTGCAGCTTAATGTTTAGGTATATGACATCCATTCAATGGACCACGGTTTAGACTTTAATCTATCTATCCAAGACTCTAAATTCTGTCTATTTATTTATTGATGCTTTTGATTTCCCGTTTTTAAATTGAATCGAACTGATCGACCTGTTGGAACACGGGTTCGTATTAGCATGTCTCAATACTGCCTAAGGTACAGGTACATCCTGCCGAAGAGTCCCAGACAGGACGAAACTCACGACCTGGATTCCACTGCTACCCATCAATAAGTAAATTATAACTATTTAACCCAGAAGTGTTACCAGTCCCAATAACATATTTAGGGTTCACAATGTAATGAGTGAAACTGCTTGTGGTTTTCAATTTATGATAATCTTGCATTAAAATGTTCCTAAATTTTTAGAGAATAATATTACCATTCAGGTTAAGGATATAAGTGTACTACTCTTATCACAGCATAATATTTAACTAATCTAAACGTTTACCAGTAAATTCTCCAATTATCATGGATTAATTTTGAATTGTGCCAGTGGACATTCAATATATCTCATTTTTAAGACCGTGGATTTATGAGACCGTTCAGTTGCATCCATTTAGCCAGATTTCTGAGTGAAATGTGGTTCGTCGTGTTTAGTTAGTCAAAGGCAGTCGGCGGGAAGCCAGGCACCTAGGCTACATGCCTAATGGCAGTCGTCAGCAAGATATATCAAAGGAAATGAAATTCCCTCTGAGACTCGAATCCATGTCACCCACTGTTGTAGTCGACGACGTTACCACTAAAATATTCGGGCTACGACTGAGATCCTGTAAAATTGTCTAAACTGATCGTTTACTGGTGAGTTATCATTTTCATTTAGTCTAGTCCTGAGTGCTGATTAAAATTTATCGATTATTTTGCCAGAAGTAATAGGCAGGAGGATGCATAGGGTTTTCTGCTGATGACTACCAACCATCTAACATCAGTCAGAATGCATCATGATGCTAAGTGTACTAGCTGGGTGACCACATTAGAAAATAATCAATGAAATTCGGTTAGCACTTAACACTAGACAACATCAAATTGGTTACCTTGGAGTTACAAATCATGTCATATATCTCCATATATGAACAACAATATAGAATTTTCAAACATTCTCCACTTTCATTGAGAGTGAAAAACATTTACAAGGATAATACAGCATATTTTTTGATCAACAACTAATACAAACTGATTGCTGACTTAGTCAAAAACTTGGATGTTAAGTAGTATTATTAGCTCTGAAACACAGAAAGAAGCACATGAAAGCATTTTCTCAACTCCAGCATGCAAGTTCAAATCAATAAATTATGAACTTTGTTAACTTATGCATTCTAGGTTATCTAATTCAGAAACGAGTCAGATAAAATGATGGAGTGCAACTCAGCATTTAGACTCCAACTGGTATAACTGAAAGTCCTCATGAGAGCTATAAGGATTCTTTAGCATTTTTTCGTAGACTAGTTTTTAAAAAGTTAGAAATTGTTATTGATAAAGATAAAAGTTTGGATCGAAATGTTAAAGAACACTTGTAATATTTTTACTTCTATATTACGACTCAAAGAAGTGTACCAGAAACCAAAATATTGGGAAGTACATACACTTACGAACCCCATTTTTATAGTTATACATTTTAACTGTTAGAGTTGTTTTATTTGTCCAGTTATTTTATTGAAGAGTTCGTTTCAATAGATTGTCACGACCAAATATTGCATCTATCGATTGTTTAATAATAATAAATAATAAATGGATACTTATATTTATCTGTCCCACGTAGTCCAGAAAAAAGTCACCGGATAGAATATTTGATCAACTCAAAGACAGCAGTTCCAAAATCAGATTATTGCTTTATCATTTATAGATTTCTTCCACTCTTCATAGGACGAGATTATTATATAATATCGTTAGTGTACAAGGTTGAATAAAAGCATGGAGAAGGGTTTTGCAACGATCTATAAAACAGTGCAGAAAAAGAGAAGGATAGGAATCTGGCATGACGACAAGTTTTGGTAAATGTGAAATCCGATGGTGAGGTTTCCAGTTGATAGATGTAAAGGTTAGGAAAAAACCACAGACATAATGAGGGGCTGATAGTACTAGACTGACCAGCTGTAATGAATTCGAAAATATGAGGGAAGGGTTAAGACCATGCTCAGTTAATATGGTGAAGATAATCTTTCCGGACGTAGAGATCAGACCCGATTGAGTGGATTGCCTGTGCGTCTTCAGTGGAGAAGCCTCGAAAGCTCACTAGTTTTGAACTGTTCCACGTGGCTTTGCAGATTACACCGAAAGATAACTGGTTGAGCCATATTGCTGGTACTGACCAAATATTATTGATTTGAGTTTGGAATTGATTTGCACTTTTCTCCTATGTATTCGTCTGAAAGGTGTGCGCTTTTAGTGATCATATAACTAAGTCTATAGGAGCGAGTAAGCTTATACGAAGATGCAGAAGCAACTAAAGGGATAGGTTGTTCTTAACATGCCCCTTAACCATTTTCCAACTTGAGAATTGATTTATGACTGGCAAGCGAAAAATGTCCTTGTCAGACATTTTGACAGCTGGTTCGTCGTGATCTCTGTTTCTGCATTACTGCTGAAGTTAACCACCATAAGTAAAGTCTTTTCCGGAACCACAATAACTTGCTCCGTAATCTTTTTGGATTTCAAGTTTTCTTCAGTAAATTTAGATTGATATCTGTCTGTATGAGAATTGTCGAAATCTGGTTAACTCATCGGTGACGTTATCTTTCGTACAGATTCTTCTGATTCCACACTGGGTTCTAGTATATAGATTTATGTAGGGACTTCATGACAACATCGTGATGCAGTCCGTAAAATTAACAGGTTTATCAAATAGTGCATTAGCCACCACGGCAAACTGCATTTCAGTCCAATTAGTCAGAATTTAATTTCAACGATTTTATTTACTGAGTTACACTTCAAAAAACGATGATACGGATAAGTATGGTTTCGATACAAACTTTTAAAACATGGCTTATAAGATTCCTGTTTATCTATAGAAGCTTTTAGAGAATGTACTCTTTTGTTCAAAACAGTTCATACATATTTGTCAACTATTTGTTTTTCCCTGGTCTGAATACCATTTTAGCTACGAAATGTTTTATAGTGATTTTTATTCATTTTTTGCTACTCAGAGGTGTCGGTCTTTTCCCACTGACTGCTAACTGTTCAAATGTATTATTTACTAATCTCATCCACATGAACTATGAAAGAAATATATAAATGCCGAAGCTATAATCTAGTTTCAGAATATTGTCTTTGAGTTGGTCAAATATTCTATCCGGTGGATTTTTTCTGCATTGCCCGTTACTGAGAAGAGTTGGATAGAAGGTGCTGCATTGTTCATTACCTGGCATTTGACGTTTATGCCGTACCAAATGACCCATTTTAAAAAATTAGCTCCGGTTAGCCACAGAATAAATAAAGCAAATATCATTCTAATAATTTGCGAGGGCAAAGATTTACTTTGCGTCACAAGACATACCAGGCACTTGGCAACTAAACTTTTTTAAGTCGCAGTTACGCAGGATGTAACACTAAAGTAGTTATACTTTCAGTGATTTTACGTGCTGCGGTGTTTTTCTAGTGATATCACTATCATTTTCTGAAAACTTGTGGTTGATGTTTTCATGTTTCGTTACATCCCGAAAAATTAATTAACTTAGTGAAGTTATTTTTCACAAGCTGTTGCAAGATAAGCATTCATCCTGAGAAGTAAGTAGAAGTATTGTAACTCTTAGAATTATGTCTGAAAGCTGAATACACCATGCTTTATTCATGCAGCATCTTCTTTCAAGTCTTTACGTTGATTTATGTTATCTTATTTTTTCTTTAAATGGTGGGTTTTTATAACTTCTGACTGTTTTATTTTCTTTTCATCGTCTTTTCTGTTGTTAATCATTATCTTGGTGTTTTTCAGTGAAATTAGGTTCTATATAAATAAATATACAAGCAACACAACTTACTATTTCATTACTGCCAAAATAATTAGCTGTACCTTTGTTTTTCTATAGAACAACCTGTTGCAGCAAAGTACTTGGCAAAAACCTAAGAAAACAACTCAGAAGCAAAAAGCAACTGCCACGATTCCTAGCTGTTACATAAAAAAATATTTTTAAACAATGCGTATCAGAAAAAGTCATGATTTAGAACCAATTACCAAAATGCACACGGTAGTCTATGAAAATCTAACAACCATGGACGAATTTGAAACAAAATATTACTTGTGTAATAAACTGAGCCCTATACCTGGAGGTTATGGGCTCAATGTTTAAGCGGCTGAACTACAGAACCTAACCGCCAGCCAGTTTCAGTTTTTCTCGGTCAGTAAGTACCGAACTCAGCTAGCGCATAAAACATGGAGCAGAAACTAAGTAATCAGTCAGATGGTCACCAAAGGGTTTTTCTCACCTTAACTATACTAAGTCAAATCAAGTTAAACTGACTGTACATTTAACAGACCACCGAAAACACATTCAGTAGGCAAATGAAAATATATGCTTTCCTAG